CTCTTCGAGTAAGTTTTGATCCGCTACACGCGTACTGGTTCTAAGTATGAAACAAAGGTCACCGACCGACTTCAACCAGTCTTCCTCCAAGCGAAAGAGCTACGGCAGCCCCGCTGCAGTTGACCTACATCAAAGGGAGAAAAGGTGAAGTGATATTTGTTATTATAGCCAATAGGCTACTAACTTCCGTAACCTGATAAGTACTTCCAGTTCTGATACATTAAAACTGAAAGGAGATATTACGAATACAGGGTGTTCAGCACACAAAGCATGTGGTCCACACAACATCTATATTTGAATTGGCTCATAGCACCACGCCTACTCAAATGTGGGCTTACCCATATTCTTAGAATTTTATGCAACTCTTCGTTAAATTGTTCTTTCGCTCTTCGTCACGCTCTGTCCAGCCTTGCTAGAGTGACAAAGAGCACGCTTGCTCCACATGAGATCTTCAACACCATCAAATTGGGATAGTTTTCCAGAACCAGGTCAGTCAGCGCATTTGCGGTATCGTGAATTTCATCGTCACAATGACTTTAATGATAGACCTGGTGGTTCCACCGTAAGGATCGACGAACTCTTTGTCGCGATCGATGACTCGAGTCGCGTAATTTTGCGCCATCGGACCGATCGCTCGTGCTGGAGGTGAAACACGAAGCCTCACGTATGTACCATACGTTCAGTAATCCAATCTGGATTCCATCCAGACAATCGACACTCGATTCTGGGCATGGTTATATACGACCAAATCCGTGGACATCTAGCGTTTGCAAAGAGGAAGCACCGCAGCAGACCTGTTAAAAGTACGCGATATGCGCTTTTGATTTGCGTATTTGACAGCACAGAATCGGGATCAGTCCGATATCAAGGATGCTGGTGAGGAACGCTCGGTCATCAGTCGGCTTCACGACGAGAGGGACAAAGGGGGATGAAGAAATCACAGCTTCCCTAAGCGAATTCTGTCTTTGGGCCCATATCGAACGCGCGAACGATACTGGGACGGTCGCGAAAAATGCAAGTACGATGCCCCCACGTATTCTCGATAGATAGATACCCCAGCCATTTCATCAAGAGCTCCTTTTGATCGCGAACATCCCTCTCCACCTTCACGATCTCGACGTGATAGTATCGACTTCCTTATCGGTCTAGAAAAGGGGGAGGTGCCCGGAGCGGTCATCCCATCTGCATCTTCTGTGGCTGGTCCACAGTCTTCGTCCGCCTTAATAATTGGTGGAGGAGCCCCTCTCGCTGATGAACCAGCTGGTGATCAAGGTGACCAATTAGGTGTCGTTGACGCTACCGCGCGTGAAGCACAATCGGCAGGTCGTTCGCGAAGTCCGCGATTTCGCATGGCGTCATGGACATTCGCCTGATGACGCAATCGATAATCATATTCATCGAAGCAGGCTCTGCAAGTTGTTTCCCTCCTGCTTCGGCTGCTTCCGCTGATGATGTGGGGCCTCCTTTCAAACGATCTCGTTCTATTTCGGGCGTTCCCAATTTTTCTAGTCAGTCTGAGGGAGATGCTTAGGCGACGACGCCGAGGGGTTAAATATTCGACTCTCGTGTTGAAGTCGTGGCTCTAACTATAGCCACTTTCGAATAAGGCCGCGGTACATCCAGGTTAAAATTCGCGTCGTCGCGATGGTAATGCTGGAGGAGCTTTACGTAGAACGTTGAACGGGTTCTTAGTCAGCTTGGCAGATCGATAGTGCGAGCGTTTCCATGGCATGACACTTTTCAGAACAGGCCGATCAAGCAATGTAATAGCTTCAAACCTCCCAAGCTTGAGACCGCATCGTTAGATAGGATCTGAGTACTACTTAGTACTACAACTTAATACACAATCCCCAACAATAATATTTTTTTGCCTTGACGACCTCGTCTATCTGCGATTTCCTACGACCCGCAAAGTTGGGACACTTGCAGCAATGGGTCTCGCAATTGTCTTGCGATTATGCTGCATCCAACTCGACAAACCATCGTGAGAGAGGATCGCTCTCTCCGCCACGGTACAAAGATATGTTAAGTTTCAGATGCGTCATTCTGTAAGAAGAATCAGGGGTTGCGAACTGCTTCCAAGATTGCATAATCTCATGATGCATGAATATGATGGCCACATGCTTCTGATCATGCGGAGAATACGACTGAAGTCAACTGACTTCAGCAGCTTTTCCGATGACTTCTCGCATCCGCTCCAGTGCCATCCACTCATGTGAAGACGAACGACGAACCATCTCAGTCGTCAACACCTCAGTTTGCGGTACTGATGGACCCAACTTCCTCCATGTCGCTCAGAGAAGGACAAGTGTAGTGTTTGAGCAGGAATGTGTGACGTGCTAATCAGCCGCGTCCTAAAACAAAGAACCGAGTGTCGTTGAGAAGACAGCTTGAAGTGCTACATATGCAAGAGCGCTGTTTACACGGGTCACTCAAACACTAGACACACGCTTGTGCGACGAGGAAGCGATTCCGACGTGGAGAGAGAAGGTCGGTCTCGACTTGAATGGAAAAAGAACGGCTTAAGATCTAAAGGGTAAACTTGCAACTGGAGTAAAATGAGTAAATGAATTCGAGCTACATGCGAAACACCTCAAGTCCTCCTAGAATTTCTACTAATAACACCTTGAGTTCCTGAGTTATGAAATCAAGGGTGTACTGATGTTTAATCCCAGCTTAAAATTATACATGATCGTGAAAAGCACACTGCTCGAGCTTTAAAAAGCTTGAATTTCAACTTTAGTGGAAAGTATCAAGTGAAAGTGACTGCCATACGCCACCCACTTCGAAAGGCAGAGACACGTCGGACTCGTCATCAGTACAGATCCTCATGTAGGAACTAGTATTCTGTATCAAACAGAATGTTTGTGGTTTCATATTATATGTCACGTATGCATTTGGAAGCACCATACTGCCATCTTGTTTATATTGATTTCCACATTGCATACAGAAGGTAGATAGATGTATCCTCATGTAATGGCTAGGTGTAGCATGCCTCACCTTGAGACCGCGGATCACTGCCGTACTTGCCTTCCAAGCTATGCCGACGATTGATAGCAACATTCTTGCTAATCAAACCATACCGTTTGACGCCTTAAATCAGAGCTATTGTAATTTTATGCTCGCGTCAAAAGCGCATCTCCTTTCCTTGAGGTAAATAATTTACCCGCGAACGATTTACAAGGTAAGAAATGTGTCATAAATAACTTTTTCGACTCTTAGTTAATTAAAGTTCAAACCACCCCATACCGAGGATATTGTCATATCTTAAAACCGGACGAAACAAGTCAAACTCTGCAAGAAAGCTCAACATATCTACCACGTATCTGTTGGAAACGAGTTAAGCAACCTAAGTAAACCAGTAGGAGTTATAAAACTCCCAACCATTTGCATAATTACATAGCTACAAGCAGAATACATTTACTTGGAAACTCACCTTCAAACCACCAGGTCCTTCCTTCCTATTTGTCATTTACAGCACTTTGCGCAGAAGTAGCGTATCGGGCCACCGATTTAGTTCAAAAATATCCCCGATGTAAAAAGGCACTGGTATTGAATCCATATTTGACATCTTCAGTGCCTCTGCAAACTGTCGGTTGTTTCGGACAGTAGTGCGTCGTACGCACTCGCATTACGCTCTTAATATTTCAGGATTTATCACAGCTTCACGAAGCCCAATATTTAGTATAACATCTAAACGCCGAACTTTCAAGAGAGAGTGGCTCATTTTAAATCTGGCTTCCATTGACCACACCCGGCTTCTTCGTAGTAGGCAAAAGATTTTGACTGGGACTCGAAGCGTTCCCGCGATGAGTTTGGCGTATGGGTCTGCGTTGAAGCCCGACCCTTCATTCCCATCAGCCGGAATAGAAGGGGGCACGTATGATCAGATATCAAATACTTTCACAAATGTAACATCCGCCATTCCCAAGGGACTGTCAGCAACCAAGATATATTTCTCCTCGTATGGTTGATTTTCTTTGCCTCTGGCGTTCCCAACAACCTTTTTCCTTCGTACTTCAACTGAGCCTTGCGGTATAGAAACTATACTTGGCGTGCAAGTCGACAATCAACAATTCCATGAATGAGGCAGAATATGCGCATGAGGTCTCGATTCGAGCCACAAAGCTCAAAAGTCCTCCATGCGACTAATTTGTTACCTTTTCTAAGAGTGGGTCTGCTGCAATAGCGCCAACCATAGACATTGTCCGCCACTTTTTGCCCCTCCGACGGGTGGACAAAATTTTGAAACGCACTCGATAAGGCAGTGTAAACATGTCTCTTCAAATTGACTTTTGCCAGAAATGCCTTCTACAGAGGGTTCGCAAATACGTGTCCATTATAATGCATGGCTTCCTAGCTTTTAAATCGACCAATATGCGATGTGTCTCCGTCTAGAGCATGACCGAATTCATGGCCAGCAGATTATGCATCCACTAACGCCTGATAAAGGAGCTCCCTGATTTGTCTCATCAGCGCGTACTCATATGCCTCCAAGCGAGTCATCATCGCTTCTGACCAATTGAAGACATGACGTGTCTACTTGTCCCGAAGACAGATAAATCGTGTCCTATCATCGCAACAGATACAGCTTATTATGACTCGGTCGTCAAATTGAGGGCAAGTTCTTCCAAACGCAACGAGGTTGCTGTGCACCTTGCATTTGTAAAAATTTGACTCAAAGAGACCACATTCACAAGCGCGCGGAAAAAGGATTCGTACGCTCAGCCCTTTGGACTTGAATGTATCGTACCAACTGTTGGTAAGTACTGGTAAGTTTAATACACATTAGCAAACTCTTTCTTACGTTATAAGAGGATTATCTTCGCGCGCATCCCCATCACGATTAGGTGTGGAACCGAAAGGATAAATTGTTTTTTAGGCCTGAACATAAAGGGGAAAAAACTTTGTGAACAATTGAACAATGGCACAGAAGTGCAGCAAAGCTCCATTTAGTGTTTGCACATTAAATTACCCGTACGATGTATACATGTATACATTCAAAAATTTTCAGTCTTGACTGCATCTAGCAACAAATTCTCAAGCGCGAGGAAAAATTCGTTAGGCGGACGTCGACTGAGCACACCTATTTCGATGTCACCATGCTGTTCGTCAAATTCATTGAGCTTGAACGTGTATGGAATACCGACGCATTTGCATGCACCTTGTATAGCAAGCTCAAGACGTGAAGGCTGCTGGAAGCAACCGTCACGTGTCATATAATTTCCCATCCAGTACAGCGTCTTACCATTCGTAGCTGCCAATTTTAAAAAGAGTGAGCAAATCTTAAGTGTGATCACGCACTCTTCGCGAATACCCAACACGCGCAAAAGTTTAGCATCTTTTTCGGCGTCAAGTGATTCGATGTACTGCAAGGCCGTATTTGAAAGAGGTTCACGAATTTGCGGGTACTTAAGCCAGTCAAAACATGCTTCGGACAGATGAAACCAACTTGGGAGGATACATCCGTGATCGATTGGTACCATCGTGTAAGGCTTCTTTTCGCCAATCAGCAGGATATTGCCTGGATGTCGGTCCGTATTAAACACACGTATGTCTAATAAAGCAATGCGGTGAATCTGTTCTACCGAAGCAAACTCGCAAGCTTTCTCAAGGTCGAAGGGCATACCAAAGCACTCCATGCTTCCGATATTAGTTGACATAAAACGTTGAACAGCGCCTTGTTTGGCTCGACCCACACTAGATAGTCGCAATTGTGCAACAGCTGTAGGTGGTACTCCACTAAAGCCATTGCTCCGTGAATCAAGCACGTAGGCTGCTTCCTCACGAACAGCCCCTTCACCTGCATAAAGACCTTCTCGAACGAATCTTTCCTCCTCAACAGGCTTAAAAAGCGCAAGTTTCTGACCGCTAGATCGAGACTGCACTGCATAAACACCACCTTCACCCTCACTTACACGGTCTGCAAAACCATCGGCCGTTGTGCTCAACACTGCTACGTCCCAAAGCATGTTGCGGCGTATGCCACTTCTAGAACTCATACGCTGTAGCCTTAACTTTGCGATGAAACCGTCTTTGCCTTGTTGAGCCAGCTCATTTACATCGACGTACACATCATCGGCTGCAATAATGACATTTGCAGGCGAAGCTGAATGCAAGCGCTGTAGTTGACTTTGGTGATAGTGTCCACCGAAGATTTTGTACACTGCAATGCATTTTTCACCAACTTGGCAGCCCAAGTGTAATCCTTGGGCTACCTCCTGCACCATCACCTTTTCATCTTTGCTGAAGTAATCGGGAAACATGATAATTTGGCCACAATCATCGGCACCAAATTCAAAAAGTTCCTGAAACAGAGATGCATGCTTGACATGACTCAACGATGTCTCAATTGTAGACACCTGTAGTTGTTTTGATGGTGATGACATCGTGGAAGCATATACTGATTTTGTACTGCCATTTGACTGTCCTAAACAGGAAAGAGCAGGTTTCTGGGGTGAGCTGCTGAGATCAAGCAGTTTGAAGTTCTCGGTCATTTTGCAATAGCTTGAGCAGCTATCAGCTAATCGTCCACTGATTTCCATGTCTTGCGATTGAGAGTGCGAATCATTTTTTGCCGTAGTTCCGTCATCTGATTGAACTCCAGTGCAGATCTCAGTCTGGTTACATATATTTTCTTTATAGCTCTTTTTGAGTGCTTCAATGCGACTGTTCTGGTTAGAAATTGCAGAGCTGAAGGGCCAGATTATCGCTTGCCGCCAGCGTGGTCGCAAGGAAACATGCGGTGCTCGTGATACTGCCTTTGAAAACCTTTGCGTACTGCAGACAAGATGCAGGAGGCTTTGTGACAGATTGCTTGACATCATAGAGATGGTTTCTTCGTTACGACGCGCCATATTAACTACCATAGCTGACTTAAGGTATTGACGTCGCTAGCCCGATATCCAACACCTGTCACTGTATAAAACGTCGAGACGGGAGATCGAGAGAAACTCGACAGCAATGTCACTTCGCTCGCCGCTTGGACGACGGATCTGCGCAACCCTTTTCTAGATGCGAAATAACTACATGGAGCGATTTCTAGGGACGCGTAGCCTATAATTGCACTTCATTGTAGCGGATACAACCAGAAACAAAGCACGTTGAAGCGTTGGACCAGTGGCTGATTGGGTAAAACTTCCGCTGATGATCTGAAGCACGGTCCAAAAATGTACACAGATATATATTAAGAATTTCACATGGAATATTACTATCAATTGAAGTAAGTGGTAAGAAGACAATGATCAAAAGTGAATGTCAGATTACACATGCTTGTCTGAGCGTAACATCTCTGATTTGGTGCGTATAAAATTTTGCAAACAGCTGCATGCTGCACTTTATATTACCACCTACTGGCCAAATTGTTCAATCGTAGTGCTACATCTATTTGGTGACAATAGTCGTTTTTCCATCCTTCCCTTTATGGGATAGAATATGTACATTCGGTGCCATATATTCAACAATTAAATCCCCCACGTTAAGCGCCGTTAACGACGCGCGACCGTCGAAGAGTGTTCTATCTTTCGCTTACAATACCTATTTATCTGAAATCTACACGCTACCTCTGTCCATCAACACGTAGTCAGGAGTGGAAGCGGCTTCTGAAGTCCAACACGCCATTCCATTTCCCATGATCACACCGTCGAATATTGCTGGAAGTATTGGTGGAGCCATCAACATGACCGCTTGCAGTGTTGCACCTTCATGGAATACGCAGCCTCCAATCGCACGTTTGGCAACTGTAACTTTAAAGCAACTCAGTGGATTCAGCATGCGCAATTTGTCGATTCACGGCACGAGCGGCGACGCGTTGCTTAGCGTGTACTTCAAACTAGGTAGGATAGCGCTTATTGAGAATCTTACAAGATGGTACCTTGTTGCTGGAAACTGAAATAATCTGCAGTGATAGACGGACGAATCGTGTACAAGAGTGAGGTAGCTTGTAATACGCTCAACCCAGTGTGGGTTCCATTCCACGATGGACTTCTTGGAGATGAAATGGTTATGAGTGGCGGTACAAGATTCGATATAATTGTTGTGCATGTTCATGACCGCATGACGACAAAAAGAATGCGACGCAAGTCGTGTTCCATGAGTGGTCGGTTGTCATTCGGAGACGACCAACCAATCAACAATTCGCGGTCATTTGCGGATGCCAAATACAGTTCCGACGATGTCGGTGACGCTACTTTGATAAACAAGCTGACAGACAAGGCACCACAGACTGACGTAAACAACCCCCACGAGGTGGTGTCTGCCGTGTTTGAAGAAGACCTTATAAGTATGAGCTTTGACGTTTTAGAGCTCGAACCGCTTCCTGTCGCTCTTTCGGATCTGATGAATTTACCTCTGAACACTAGCCTATTTGAATTTACAGGCTGCACATTTGTGCATCGCGAAGTGCTTGAATTTCTGGTTGAAAAGGGTGTGATCGCACCTAAGCATTCCAGAAGAAAAGGGTCAGCGATTCCCTTAAAAGACTATAGTCTGCATGAGGGTGTGGATGCTCTAGAACGCATTTTGACCACACGTCAAAAGATAACAGACTTAAATAAGTCGAATGCAGTGCTTAAAGAACGCATTCGGAATCAACTACTACACTCTCGGCAGCGCATCCTACGCGAGCAGCAACGTATAGCCCTGGAGGAGCGCGTTCGACGAGCAAGAGTGCAAGTCGCAGAAAAGCAGCATACATTAGCGCGTATTAAAGCCGTGATGCAGGACGAACGCAGGACTTTTGAAACAGACATTCACGTTCCAAAGGCTTTGTTGAGCACCATGCAAATGAGTTTGCGTTACAAGGACGAGCGCCAGAATATCCTCGAGCGTCGATGTGAAGTCTTGCGTGCAGCGCATAAGATCCGATCAAGGCAAGCTATGCTTGTCAAGCAACTCGGTACTGTGTATCCTATCGAGTATGTTGGTGCTGGTGAGTACAGCATTCGCGGTATCAGGATCGCTAATTCTGACCTTTCGGGTGGCGGGAGAAATGACGAAGAGATGATCTCTACCGCTTTAGGATACATTGCACACCTCGTCTTTATGCTAAGCAAGTACCTTCATGTAAATCTTCGCTACCGTGTGGTCCCCTACTCATCTCGGTCTTTCCTAAAGGATGAGATCAATGACCCAAGTGGTGAGTACCCATTGTACAAACGAGGAGTCGAGAAAGAACGTCATGAAAAGGCAATTCGTTTTCTTCGCAAGAACGTGGAGCAGGTATGGCGATTGTCAGCTCTTCAATATTCTTTAAGATATCGCCTCTAATACTACGTTATTGGTGCTCTTAGTTGTTGTTTGCACGAAGTCTGGACCCCACGTTAGAAGCCCCAATTTTAGCTCGACTTAAAGAGCTTACAGATGCCGAAAGCGCATGGCTTGCCATCGATCGTAACTTAAGCAACAACGTAAATAGTAGTAACAGCACCGACACGGGCACCATTGTAGCCAGGTAGACTAAATTTATTGCGATGCGAGGCATGTTGCAAAAATACGTTTGGGATCTGATGCGATCAGCAGATGACCACTTGAAAGTTGCTCGCTCAATGGAAGTAGACGCTATCACCATTTAGCGATATGTGCAATGTCTTGCACATCTTTCCATCTCATAGCTTTGAATTCGCGATAGTTTTAGGATAGTGTGTATTGTACCAGTGATGCGCGATATCTTCACGCGTGCATATCCAGACATCTTGGACGCTCTGGACGGCGTCTAAGAAGCGAATCAAAGCAGCGAATCGGCCTGGATGGCCTACTATGCGGCAGTGTAAGCCGACCGACATCATTTTTGGTCGTCCAGCGATTCCTTCAGCTAGCAAAACATCGAAAGAATCTTTGAGATGCGTATAGAACTGGTCTCCAGAGTTAAAACCGTGAAGAGAAACAAACTTCATGTCGTTGTTAGTGAGAGTGTATGGAATCACCAAATGCGGTCGTCCAAACTCTGTGTTCCAATAAGGTAGATCGTCATTGTAAGCGTCCGAATCATACAAGAAACCACCTTCCTCAACCACTAAACGACGAGTATTGACATTTGGCTTGCCTTGGTAGAAACCTATCGGACGTTTTCCCAACAGCTTCTCATGAACAGCAACAGTTTTACGAATATGCTCGCGTTCTGTCGCCTCGTCCACACTTTGATAGTCGATCCAGCGATATCCGTGACTGGCAACTTCCCACTTGGCGTCCTTCATGGCCTGTGCGACCTCTGGGTTCTGCTCAAGCGCACGGCCTACGGCATAAACGGTGAGAGGAATTCGACGCACTGTGAAGGCATGATGCAGCCGCCAAAATCCTGCACGACTGCCGTACTCGTACAAGGACTCCATGTTCATGTGACGCTGGCCCATGTAAGGCAAGGCACCAACGATGTCTGACAGCAGATGTTCGGATGAGACGTCGCCGTTCAAGATACAATTCTCGCCACCCTCTTCATAATTGAGCACAAACTGCAACGCTAACTTTTTACCATTCGGCCACTTGGGGTCTAGCCCATTGGCGCCGTAGCCCACCAAGTCACGAGCCCCAGTATTTTCAGCCATGGTTGTTAGTGTGATTTTTATTTAAGTCGACAATCACAATCTGCTTCACGTCAAAATCCAACAATCTGCTTCACGTCATACATAATCCAACAATCTGCTTTACGTCATTTTGCACGGGCATTCTAATACTCAAAGAGCTTCACATTTGGCGTAAATGCAAAGCGCATACGGGCAATCGACTTGATTACACAAAGAAAGACGTGAGAAGTTTTGATTGTCTACGTTGGCAGCTTTTAAGATTCTAGTCGACGACACATAAAGCGAGATCGTTTTTTTATTGTTGCAAGATAGTTAGTTAAGTATAAACATATTTAGAGAGAACTATGTGATTTATGGAATATCTTGGCTTTCGAAACGTAGGAAATCAGTTTTCTTGAAAGATATCCATACAACACGGGACGACAATTGCGTCATATATCTGATCGAGAATTGCAAAGAACTGCCCGTTCTTAGTGCATAGAATTCAACGAAGGAATGAGCCACAGTGGTACAATGCACCATTTCCAGCGAGCGAATGAAGTGTGTTACATTGTCTGCACACTAATGACATGACACATAAGATTTGTCCTTGGTAGCTAGCTATATTTGAATCCCCTAGCGGTTGTTTGCATCGTGCACTAACACTTGTTTGGATCAAACTTGGGTTTCACATGCCCTAGTATGAGGTGTGTGGGTCACACAAAATGGTGTGATCACACAATGGGTAGCACTAAAATACAAGAAGTCAGTACGTGGCTGGACTGCCAGCCTTCTGTTTAAAACGTATCTGTGTCAAAGCCGCCTATATCTAAATCTATAGAATTTCCTATCTATATAGCAAAACCTGACTAATGTAGTGAACTAGCCTTGGGTCGAGGTTGCAATCACTCTTGGAGTAAGTGTATCGGCTCCCGCTACAATCGTTCCGGTTCTAAGTATAGAACGAAGGTCACCGACCTTGACCAAGCTTCCTCTAAACAAAGAGTTACGGCAGCCCCGCTGCACTCGTAGTCAATCTACGTCTGATTCGTTTAGACTGATCCTCTGTAAGGACAGAACAGTTTTCCTCTTTACCCCAGGGCATGCAGGACGGGCTTAACAAGCTGATGTCCTTGATTGGCCCTGAGGGCGTGCAACACCTTGCGGCGCAAGACCCCGAGGCAATCGGTGCGTGTCCCGAGGCGTGTTCAAAGTACGAAAAAGCGCTGCTAGAACACCTGCAGCAGAAGATGTCTGCAGC